TTGCCTTGAGCGTTTTGTTTTTCTCTTTCTTCTTTTCCAAGTCCAAGCACTTGATCATCACCATGGTCACACCATCATCATGATCTTCATCACTGCTCTACCACTTGGAATAGTGCCACCTATCTCATGATTACTTAGATAAATTAGGTTAGCACTTAGGGTTTCATCAATTTACTAAAACCAAACTAGAGCTTTCAACGACGAAAAGTGACGGGTCGATCCCCGCCACCGGCACGCCGAGCAAGCCGAGAGAAACCGCGTGGAGCAGATCCTGAGCCCTCCCCGGACTTAGGAGGACACCGGACCGGATGGTCGTGACCTACGGCGTGCCAGTCAATTTGACCCTACAATTGACAAGGAGACAAGATTGATCAGTAATTTAAGGTGGAACATGCCGGTGTTTGTCCAGACAGTTCCAAATGTGCGGCTAAGTAGCTGATGAGACAAGGCTATCGACTAGAGAGTCGATATCCAGCATGTTCATGATGCATGGTAAGTAAAAACGAGCATATTGACAGTTATCAGTTGCTCAATTGTATAGATCTAAACGGCCGATGATCATGAAAACATGCAAAAGGTGTAAAAAGTAGACGTGGAAGCATTCATATTCAATGAGAAAATATACTAGTTTTTAACTAAGACAAAAACAAGTAAAAGCAAGTAAATAGCCAATATATTCTCAAAGTACGGGCCATCGGCTAAAACAGATTCCGATGAAAGTAAACTCGTAACATGCAAGCATTCAACCATTAAACGTGAATAAATTCATACATTCATCAGATCTAATCTAGTATGTCTAGCAGCGGGGTTCGAGCCGGACCGATGCAACCATGATAAAGATAACAGGTTAAACCTTCAAAGAATACGAATCTATACACGCTCAACAGAATCGTGAAAACATGCTACGATCATGGAAGCACAAGCGATCGGCTAAATATCTGCCGATGGGGCCCATTCCCTTGAAATGATGACGTCATCTTATCCAGTTGATGGCAATTTAGTTAGCCGATCTTGCTGAATATCTCAACTTTCCATTGATAAGTTTATGATCTTATGGCTTCCTTATCTCGAACCAAATTTCGGTGTCAACAGAAACTATTTAGGGTTTTGGCATCTCTACATGTGAGCATCGGTAAATTTGTAGATTGTGGAACGACACGTACACTTCTTCTCAGGGGTGGCCGAGCTCAAGCCAATTTGATGGGGAGCGCTTGTCTTGTTAGTGTGTTATGAATATGGTGAAAGTTTGGCGGTAATCGCTGTTTTTGTTTTTTGTTTTTGTGTGGGTAGGCCTACACCCAATAATAATTGTATATAGCTATCCGTCCAGCTTCTTCTGAGGCTGTGATTTCAGTTTCACCCACTAATACCTGTTATTCTGAGGCTGTGATTTCAATTGTAAACCTGACACTAGCTGCTCGTTTTAATTTGCATTTCAGAAACCCTTGCTGTTATCTTGGGGTTAATCTTCGATCTCAGTTTGTAGGCTTGGAGCTGCCTTCATATGTCGGTTTCTAGATTCATGGGTTTCGGTAAACCCTAAATGTTTGATGTAGTAGTCAACTGCTGCGATCATCAAACGCATGGGCAAAAAGGCGGCTACATACCATGGCATGAGCCAGCGACGGCCTCGTGGACGGACCACAGCACCAGCCACCGGCGGTCAGGCCATACAGTACTACGCATGCATGCATGGGATGATGGGCCTCGCCCCTCCCCTCACTCACTGTCACTGACTCGCTCGCACAGTCGCACGGCCACAGACTCCGCTGTAAATGAACTCCGCTGATCTGATGACCACCACTCTGACTGAGGGCCGACTAGCGAGGAACACTACCAGTATCGTCGTCACAACTGCATGTCCTGATCGATCGTCGCAGATGAGATCAACATTAATGCTGCTGCAGGTGGTGGTGCTTGCTGCTAGCTTGGACCGAATGACCGATCCATCCGTCCGTCTCTCAGATCATCGTCGTCGTCGTCCATCCATGCAATGCATGTGAGCAAGCATGGCCCACATCTGCCTGCCTCATCCGTCATGATCCGTCAAACAAACGGATTTACTCCATGCGATCAGACCGGGCTCCATCATCAATCCAGGCCCCATTTCAGTGAAGCAGTTTTTCCCCTTCAGCCCTAGAGCTAGGCGTGGCCCAAAAGTAACTCTTATACTATATGTAAATTTCTAGCCTGGCCCAAGGCGTTGGCCCAAAGTTTCACTCCTTCCGGCCCGACACAGACACCCGACTCCTCTGATCCCGTCCCTCGCTATCGACTCCGTCTCCTGCTCTCCGCCCATCGCAATCGAGAATCGACTCCGTCTCCAGCTCTCTGTGCGCCGCCCGCCGGTCGTCGACGGCGACTCTCCCCTGCCGCAAGCCTGCGGCCTGCCCCTACCGACTGCCGCGGCGACTCGGCCCCTGGTCCCTGTCGCAGCCTGCGGTCGGCGGTCAGAGGTGCCGGGGGCCTGACCAGCCGCAACGGCGTAGCCTGCAGCAGTGCAGCCGCACGGCCGCACCGAACGTCTGGTCGTGGCCGACGAGCACCGAGCAGCAAGCCGTTGACCCGGCATCTCCGTCGCGCTGTCTGTTCTCTGTTGTTCGCCTGTCCGGGTCCGGTCTCCTGTGTGGCACTGTGGCCTGTCCGCCTGTCTTAGCCTTTTGAGCTCTGGTAACTTGCAGTTCCCTCATCCTCGAATCCATTCCCAGGTTCTTCTCTATCTATAAACTCCATGAACGAGTAATTGATTAAGTCAACAGGGTTGTACAGGGAGGAGGATCAAGATATTAAAATCCCCCCCCCCGCTCCAATGCCAATTATACCATTAGTGCCAAAAACCTAACTTTATGCAAACCAAACATCATTAGTTAGTTATTTTTTAACAACTTTCATGTTTTCATGAATTATATCGCGGATTTAAGTATAAACTTATACATTTATAAGATAGTTTTGTAGTAGACCCGATGGAAGCCTTCGCGCAGGCGGTATATAGGCTTTGGAAGTGGCCCTAGGCGTCAAAATCGACGAGCTCTGCCACCGGAACAACTATCATTGGAGTTAGCAGGAACAGTAACCCATTTGAAAAAAAAACCCAGCTCTACATGTAAAACTCTCTAAAACATACTTAAATCGAACCTTTGCTCAATAAATGCACTTTAGCTGCTCTCCACATAGCAGAGTGTTAGCAATTTTTAGAACATAAATGCACTTGAGATCCTTTTTTTTGAGGGAGTGGAATCAGTGCATATAAATAATTTTTTTTGAGCAAAAGTGCATATAAATAATTGACACGTTACATGGTGTGTATGGCCCAATAAAGTGTGATATGTGATAAATTCAGGCCCAATCAATCTGTCGACGGGCTATAAGAAAGGTCGATAGCAACCGCCTCAACAATACGGCCCGACTGGAGGATGAACTGATGAAGCCCAGGTAGATGATGCGTATAGAAGCGGAGTGGGGAGGCCCACTCGCGCAGCGGCGCCACTGCTAATCATCTGTTTACCACCCGCCGCCGCCCTCGCTGACATCGATTGGCACCGCCGCCGCCTGGCAAGAAGGTAATCCTCCACCGCTCTCTCTTCCTCTGTTCCTCCCTCTCTCTGTCTCTCAGCATGGGTTTAGCCTCGGCCTCAGGGTTTAGGCACGGGTTCCAGCTATTGTACTCGCGGTCCAAATCTCACCTCCGCCGCTGCGCCTTCCCCGTGGCTGTGAGAGTGAGACCGGAGTTTGGGGGATTTGGTATAGACTCGCAACGAGATCCATTGCCGGCGACGAGCCCCAGCTGGCAACACCCGCCGGCGACGCACCGTGAGCCGCTGACGTCCCGTTGAGTCCTGGACGCTTGCACGGGCGCGCGACGAGCTGCGTGTTGAATCCTGTGGGGTTCTTCCTTTTGGATCCTTTTTTTTTTATCATTGTTGGATCCCATTTTGATTGCCTGCGAACTAGGGGCCGCGTGAAAATCATCCGTCAACCATACCTGTTCTGCTGTGAGGTATTCTTGCTCATTGAACCACAACCACCTACTGTTCTTCTCTGTCGCAGGGGCGGCGGAGTCCAGTAACACTTCCTATCCTCATGTAGTTTCGGTCCACAGATATTAGGCCCAGCAACAAAGGGACTAGGGCACCTGCTGCTGCTCCTCGCACCCGCACACGGCACACGCACGGGAGTCCGCTCGTGGCTCCTCCGCCGCCTCCACGCCACGCCGCCACCGGCCGCTTGACGGCCAGAGCGGTGGTGACCTCCTCCTCGCCAAGTCTCTCGCTGCAGGGTGGGAGCAACCGAGCGGCAACTGGCAGCCACGTTTCCCTTCTCCCTCCGAGTCCGGCCCTTCCTCAATCCCTCTGGAGTCCGGACTCTGGTATTTCTCTCGATCCCTCACCCTCTGGTAGGAGAACACTAATCTACGCATAAATAGAATCTCTTTATCTAATTCATTTGTACTTGTAGTCTTGTGGATAGTAGACTTGTATGTCATATCTATTTTAATTGGATTGAAAATTGAAAGTGCAATCATGAATCTAAAAAATCACAAGAATTGAATTCCCGTTTGAAGAAGTTATCTAAACTACCTAGTAGTAGTACTGGTGGAGAGCAGCTAAAATTGCTAACCTTTGCGCAGGCGGTATATAGTGTGATTTTTATAGATAAATTGAAACACTTTACGTCGTCGAGGAAGAAATCTACATGCTGAAGGTTATATAGGTAAGCGAACAATAAATTGTATATACTGTTCCGGCCCTTTTTACTAGTTATTTAAAAAAACGTACTTTCCCTGTCACAAAAGAATATACGTACTTGCGCATAAGCGCTCCATTCCATCACGACTTTGAACTAACGGACCCGATCCAGCCCAATATCTGCAGCATTGGAGCCCACTCTCCCAATCCTGTGCATGTCTCGGAGTCGGGCTCCACAGCCCATTTACACTGAAAAAAAAACTAAGTGACGGAGGAAACAAAGCACACCAAACTACCAAACCAACGGCGACAGCGATGCCGTTCCCCGTGCGCCTCCCGCCGCCATCAACCACCGCGGCCGTGGCCGCTGCCACCGTCGGGGCCGTACTCGCCGCCGTCGCGCTCCGCCGCTACCTGTCCGCTTCCCGCCACCACCCACCCGCCGGCTTGTCCATGTCCGCGGCCGCCGGAGCAGCCACCACGCTCGTGGCGTACGGCAAGTCAGCCCAGGAGCAGGAGCTGCTGGCCTCCGCTGCCAGTTCCGTCGCCCTAGGGGAGGGCGAGCCGGTCGGTGAGGTCGCTGTCGCGCTCGCCTACGACGGCGCGGGCTTCGACGCCGCCGCGTACATGAGCGCACTCCGGGCGCGCCGGTTCGGGAGGTGGATGCTCTGGACGCCCAGGATTGGTTCCACGCAGGATCTCATCGCGTGGTGAGTGCGATGTCTGGTTTCGCGCCGGGGGATTGGGTTTTCGTTTGATCTTATTTTACTCTGTTTGACTTGCCGTCAGCTCGTGTTCGCAGGAACTTTGCAAAGCTACCGGTGGGCGTTGTGTGCGTTGCCGACGTGCAGTTCAAAGGGAGAGGTGCGTATCATTAGGGGCTTGCTTTTTTCCGTAGGCCTAATTTGGAAACTTAAATTCCTCCGGGATCCCGGACTTTTGCCGCAGTGGAAAATCCATGGGGATATCATTTTAGTTATTATCTTAGTTCTTTGGGGTTTTTCCATCCATTGGTTTTGCTCCCCCTTGCTTCCAAAAGGAGCCTGTGTTTTGGACCTCATGAATTGTAACTTGGATTACGAAGTTATCGAGTTTTTTTAGGCGAGATTGATGGTCTCTTCAACTTATTATGATATCATTGATAAAGCTGATGAAACTATCTGCTGAATGCTGTGTAATCTTTAAGATCAATTGCTTGAAAATGCAGTCTTAGTGAACACAAGTGGAATCTGACTGTAGTGTGACACCTCTTTATCAAAATAACTGTTTTAATTGATTCTACCTTTTTGTGGCAATTGAAATTCATTGGTTTAACACATTCTTAACTAGTTGACTAAACCAGATCATACATGCATTTCATTTTTTTTCTTTGATCTTTGGAATCACATAATTTTAGTACGCACTATGTGCTATTGAGAGGTAACAAATTTAATCTTTGTTCATGAATCATGCAGGCCGTTCAAAGAATGTGTGGGAATCGCCACCAGGCTGTCTCATGTTCTCTTTCACATCACAGATGCAGGATGCACGGAAGTTGCCCCTTATGCAATATGTTGTTTGCCTTTCTATTACCGAAGCTATCAAGGAGCTATGCCGTGCCAAGGTTAGGTTATAATTCAGTGTACCCATGTTTGCTGCTTATTGATTGTATTGTCAGTCCCCTATTTTCATTAGGCTAACTACCTCAGTTACCATTTCATTCTGCCTTTGTGATAAAACTCAGGGACTACCGGAACTTGATGTGAGGATAAAGTGGCCTAATGATCTCTATCTGAAAGGATTAAAAGTTGGTGGCATTCTATGTACCTCATCTTATGAACCCAAAGTCTACAATATTTGTACCGGTAAAACATGCATTTCCAATTTTGCTGATTCTAAGCATTTAATCTCTTTTTTTTCCTTTGACAAGGATGGGATTCCTTTGGTCTTAATCAGGTGTTGGTTTAAATGTTGACAATGCGAAGCCTACCACATGCTTGAATGCTGCACTTCAAGAGGCAAATCCTACGTCACCCATATTGAAACGAGAAGACATACTGGCATACTTCTTCAATAAATTCGAAAATCTATTCGAGATCTTCTTGAACCAAGGTACTTTGGATTTCATTTCCCCCCATTTTTGCAGTACATGACCACATCCTTATTAGAATCGTGGCTGTTGATGTATATGCAGAGTTGGTTCCTTTCCTGACAATGGATTCAATGATAATTTTGTGTTTGCTGTAGAGATTGATTATTTTCCTATTACTGATTTAGATGCTGACAAAATATGTTTTAAACTTGACTGTAATTATTTTTTCAACTCTAGCTTGCCCCAACTTGCTTGGGGGACTAAAAGGCTTTGTTGTTGTTGGTAAAGTTGTGTACTTAACATCCTCAAATTCCAATGCAGGATTTCAGGCTCTTGAGGAGCAATACTATAACTCATGGCTTCATAGGTATGGACTATTATCTCAATATATACATGTTCATTGGATCTTATTATGAAGTTTTGCTCTGAACTAAACTTACTACCACTTGGATTTTAAGTGTTCATCGTAAATATCCGAAGAGAGTGCTTGCAAGATAATATGGTCTATCCTTGGTATGTGCTACTATATGTGAAAGAGATTTTCACTTTTCATTGTTATGTAGTGGCCAGAGAGTTGTCGTACAAGATGCACATGAAAGCAAGTCAGGCAGTGTCGTCACCATCCAGGTTAGCACAAAACAGAACTGTTATGGTTGAATTGATATTTCCACTTACCTAATAATGGTATTAATCGTTTCCAGGGGTTAACACCAACTGGGTACTTATACGCTATTGGCGAAGATAACAAAAGCTATGAGTTACACCCAGATGGCAACAGGTATTGCCCATTACTCTGTTTTTTCATCCATTAAATTTTTTTGTTCTATATATCATTACTTGGTATGTGTACCATATTTTGTATGCTTCTCATCCTATATATGTTCTCAACATGTAATAGTTTGTTCTATCACGAACTATTCTTTGTCAAGAATGGCATTTGACATAGTACCATTTGTTTGCAGCTTTGATTTCTTCACTGGTTTGGTGAGGAGAAAGATGGAAGCTTAGGGTATCATCAATCAATACAATAGGATGCATGGATAGGTTCAACAAACTGTACAAATGGATGAAGGCATTTAAGAATGGAATGAGAACATGATTTAAGCATCAGCACCTTCATCTGTATCCAAACCTTGTTCTTGGAATAAATATAAGGAATGCTCTTATGACAGTTCTAACTGCTGCTTTGAGATCTGAAACATGAACAAGTGCCCCAGCCTTGTACTTCCATTTGCGACGGCTTCCAGAAACAATTAAGGAGATGATCAACTGCGACTGAAACATGGGCATGAGTTCAAATTTCAGGTGAAGAAAACGCAATGACTGAAGACTCTTTACTTGAATGATTCATAGGAAGAATGCAGGAAAATTATGAAGCGTATCTGCTCTGTTGCTAGGCGCATAGCTTCTTCGGGAGTGTTTGGGCACATATTTTTTTTGAGGGAACGTTTGGGCACATATTTGGTTCTGCTATAGCTGTAAAACTGCGATTTTTTTTTTTTGGTGAACTCTGAGTTGGAAATCTACAAGATTTGTAGCTGTTATGTATGAGTTGGAAAGCTGTATTTGCACAGGTACTTATATAACTGAAAGGACATGATATGCAGTTCCATGCTGTTGTTGGCTTGTGCTGTCGTCTGCATAAGCATAACTGCTCTGTGTTCTGTGGGCAAGGCGGCCGTATACCGGGACTAATGACGCCACTGATCGGTTTGCATAATTATCACTTTATCAGCACACAAACATGGGCACACAGAACTTGAGCACACGGTTCATTCTCGCAGCATCAATCCGAGGCAAATAAACCAATTACTTATACTCCCTTGTCCCCAATTAATTGTAGTCATTGGTTTTCGTGCCAAAAAAATTGACTGGATTAGTAGAAAATACGTGCAACATTTTTTAAATAAATTTATTGAAAAACTAGATTCAAATATCTATCAAAATAATATTAATTATATATCATAAATATTAATATTTATATATATATTATTTAGTCAAAGTTGTTTCTCGATAAACGAAAACGACAGATGTTTAGATATGTTTAGAGTATGTTTATATATATAATTATTAATTATATTTAAATAACTCCTTGGCGTGGCTACCTCACTAGTCCAAATCAGCTCGTCTGCTCCGCCCGTCGCCCGTCCGCCTCTCTCGCTGCTCCCCTTCCTCTCCCGTAGGCGCTCTCCCGCAGGGCCGCAGGAATCCGAATCAATAAGGTCAGCTCCAATCTTAGCCTATATGGCAGCTTGGTTTAGTCTCCCTCTTTTCTTCTTCTTGGAGCGGAGGCTATCCTTTAGCTTGGGAATCTCACCTGCAAGCTTCGTTTTTTAGCTAATCCACTCCGGCGACCTAGGTCGCTTGGCTTGCCCGCTGGTCTGTAATGGCGCAGGATGATCCGGTTGTTTCTGCTCAGTGGCTGCACGAGCACCTAGGAATGCCTGATGTCAAGGTAAAAAAAAAGTCATCTAGTTTGCATGTTCATATTCAGTTCAGAGATACTTAAATAATGCTTCCTTCATAAACAAAAAGTTCAGAGATACTTCTTCTATCCCCTGCGTCAGTGGTATGTGGAGAACATAACAGTATGATTGTTTGTCAATTTGATCTTACTTCCAGAAAGAATTAGAGGGTTAGCAACAGATGTGGTTTGTGATAGTTAACAACTTGTTTTAGGTTTTGGATGCTTCCTGGTACATGCCAGTAGAGAACAGGGATCCATGGGAAGAATATCAGGTTTTCAGCATCAGCTGTAACGTGTCTCATTTTCCTTTTTGACACAATTGTTGGAGCTAAAGTGTTCTTATATCTTCAGGTGGCACACATCCCTGGTGCGCTATTCTTCGACTTAGATGGCATAGTTGATCGGACAACTGATGTGAGAGATGTTTCTGGATATACCTTGCATCCTCATTTTTTCCCATTATTTTAGTTGAAGTAGATAAACAACAAGGATTTCCTAAGGTGGTTGTGGTTCATACAGCTTTGCAAATCTCATGTACTTAAAGTTAGATTTTGCCACCAACTGGAGACTGATTCTTTCAATTAGTTTCACAATATAGTAGTAATATAGAGCTTGTTTTCCTTTCCTAAAGCATAATATGTTTACCCTATGATATTGTTTCAGTTACCACACATGTTGCCATCAGAAGAGGCTTTTGCAGCAGCAATTTCTGAACTGGGTATAAAAAACCAGGATAAAGTTATTGTTTATGATGGAAAGGGATTCTTCAGTGCACCTCGTGTTTGGTGGTAAGCAGAAGTCTGTTCCAGTTTCCACTTCATCAAAATGATGAAACCAGTAGAAACTTGCTATTCAGTTGTGCTGTTGATATAAAAAGTGATCAAAATTAATGACGACCTTATCAAGGACACTATTTTCTTTGTTATAAGAGTGATCTGATTGTTTTACTTAACTAACATGATTTCCTTCAAGATGTTTAGGATGTTTAGAGTGTTTGGACACAAGAAAGTCTGGGTATTAGACGGTGGTTTACCTCAGTGGCGAGCTTCTGGGTTCAATGTGGAAAATGCCAGCCCTGATGATGCAGTTCTGAAATCAAATGCTGCAAATAAGGCTGTCGAAAGGGTTTATAATGGTGAACAGGTGAGCAAAAATGATGCTGTCCATATAATTACTAAACATTTTTTTTGCTTATTGGATAATTACTTTTTTTTTTGTCTGTGCAGACAAATACAATCACATTTCAGACTGAATTTCAGCCTAATCTATTCTGGACACTGGAAAAGGCTAGTAACTTTTTTTACATGAAAGTATTAGCCTTGCATGCTTAGACTGAAATATGTATAAGTCTGCTGGTCATATGAACCCTTTTGCTTTCTTTAATTTTACATTGATGCCTCAAAAATTTGGTGGAACTCCATAAATTTGATCAATTCTGGAGTAATAGGATCAACTCCGAATTCTGTAAATATGATTAACTCAAAAAGGAGCTATGAAGATTATCACTAAGTGAAACATCAATGTTATTCCCATGCAAATTGAGCTGTTTGATTCATGCAACAGGTTGCACATAATGTCACTGCTAAGACTTACCAACAAATAGATGCCAGAGCAAAGGGCAGGTAACATCTTTAGTTACACGAACTGTAGCAGCTAGAAGTTCTGATGCTAAGTGAATATGATTTGCAAGTACAAACTTAGGTTAGTAAACACAACGCTCCAGTTCAAGCAAGACTCCGCCCTAACTCTGAATTCAAAGGAATTACATTAAACTGTTAGATGTACAGATGAAAATATATTTCACCATTTGTGAATCTGCTAATTCTCAAACTAATTGTTAAAAAGATGCATTATATGCATTGGCAGCTGATGGCATTTTTTTGTTATTGACCCCTCTTCCTAAGTTGCCTGTGGTTTCTTCTTGTTCCGAAGAAAATTACCCACATTCAAATTCGCAGATTTGATGGTGTAGCACCAGAACCACGGAAAGGGGTAAGAAGTGGACATATACCAGGAAGCATCTGTGTTCCATTCCCTGAGGTTGGTATGATTCAAAGATTCAGTACATCACATGATAGTTGGATAACCATCAATTGCTAAGAAATGACGTTGTTTGACTTCATCCCAGATGTTCGATGGTGCACCAAACCTTCTCTCTGCAGATGAGCTGTGGCAAAAGTTTCAGCAAGCAGGTCTCCATTCCGTTGCAACTCATTTTAATAATCTGAAACAAGTAATTTTATTGTGTTCTTGGCAAGAAAGAAAGCAAGAATTTTTCCAAAGTACAAATATGAGAAGTAGAGCAAGAATACTGATAATTTAACATTTCAGATCTTTTAGAAATTGAGTATTTCTTAGGGATCATGTACAGAAATTCTGAAAAGTTTGCCAAGCAATAACAGTATGGTGTATTTGGTGTTTCTTCAGGAATTTCCCTAGACCAACCCATTGTTGTCACTTGCGGATCTGGCGTGACTGCCTGCATACTTGCTCTGGTCTGGAATCTTCCCTGTTCATCTTGGATTTACCAGGCACTAGCAAAGCAATCCCTAATAATCTCTCTTTTTACAGGGGCTCTACAGGATTGGAAAGCATGATGTTCCAGTTTATGATGGATCTTGGACAGAATGGGAAGCACAATCAGATTCCGATTACCCAAAAGTTACCGCTCCTGCTTGTTAAAACTCACAAGCTCTGAAAAGATTAATACAGTTTGAGCATCTTGGACCATTCAGTTTAGATTGTCAGCAAGATGACATTATGTTGTAACAAGCTTTGCACTAAATAAAGGCGAATATTATATGGACGAGAAATGTGCAATATGTTTTATGTTGTCCTGTCACAAAAAGAGATGAAAGGGGACATGTAAAGCAGGACATAAAGTGTTGCCAATTCCTGTGAGTCGTGACCCCACTGTCAGCATCAAACTTATGGTTGACATGTACTAACTACTAACGTTAATATTCAAGGAACATATGCTTGAAAACAACAGACTGATTTTATTCACCATTGTAAACATTGTATTTACCATACAGATTAGTATCATGATCAACGTATTTCACTATTTTGTATCTAAATCAGGCAAATTCTTGTAAATTGAGGTCTAATGATCTATTGAGGAAGTTATGTCTTATGAATTTTCAATGAAAAATTGATACAATAAGTCAAAAACTGTGTATTCTGATCAGAAAAGAAACGATCTGATCACTCTCCAGTACACGTGTTGTAAATTGTAATCAAAAGACATCATCTGCTAAGATTCCTAAGAACATATAGTACAGTTAGTGTTACCTTTTTCTCCCATTCTACATTTAAAAAAACAATAACATTTTCATCCAGTGATCCATCTGGATAGAAATTTACACATAATGGTGCATGGAGCCAGGAATTGGTATGAGCTTCCACATGTCATGGCTCATCACACCTTTTGCAGAATATGACGAAATGAACTCAGCAATCCAGCATGGAATTGTCTTTGCACCTAATCTTTAATGCGCATTCCTGCATTTCACACTTTCCTCCCAAACGTTCAGACCACGCCTAATTTGCAGTAATGCTTGAAGCTAAAACAAGAGTGAAACCTGAGGCTCCCAAGTAAATTGCACCAGAGTGAGCCTGCTGGATTCAGCTAATATTGGCTTAAGATTTCTGTGAATATGGCAGCAGCAGCACCAGATTCCAAATCATCCAGCACAGGTTTCGCGTAGGTGCACTTGTGTCGTCCCAGAAGTGTCCTCGTTATCACTGAACATTGTGGGTTCTCCAACATTCGATCCAAGATCATCAGCTACCATAAAGGCACGAGCACCATCCTCGTGATTCACCCAGCTGTATCCACGGCCTTTCACAACACCACGACTACTCATCAGTGCCCTAACGGCTGAGGCATCACCATGTCGACCCAAGGTAGCATATATGTTAGATAGAAGCACATAAGGTGATGGATTCTTTGGATCAAGGCGGAACAGATGCTTGGCAGCAAATTCCCCCAACTCAGCATTGTGATGTACAACACATGCAGCTAGAAGAACTTCCCACAGTATAGGATCATCCTTGTATGGCATTTTATCTATCACAGCCTCAACTTCAGCAAAACGGCCAGCCCGCCCCAGTGCATCTATGAGGCATGTATAATGCTCAACTAATGGTGTAATCCCATAGTTGCTCTCCATGGAATTAAAGAATGTAATCGCTTCATCAACGAGCCCAGAGTGACTGCATCCTGTCAGGACAGCAATGAAAGTCACACTGTCAGGCTTCTGTTTTGTGGTTAGCATGTACTCAAACAATTCCACAGCTTTCTCTCCAAATCCATTCTGAGCATATCCATGGATCATCTCATTCCATGCCACTATGTTCTTCATAATCATGCAGTTGAAGAAAAGGCGTGCATCATCCATGTTGCCACACTTAGCATACATGTCGATCAGGGAACTGCCAACATAGACATTCTGATCATAACCATCCTTCAGAACCTGAGCATGTATCTGCCTACCTTGAGGTATGGATGACAATCTAGCACATGAATTGATCATACTAGCATAAGAGGATTCTGTGGGGAACATTCCATTTTCCCGCATCTGCTTGAAGAAATTGAAGGCCTCTTCATTCAAAGAATGGATAGCCAAACCTGAGATCATGGAATTCCAACATACCACGTCTCTCTCGGTCATCACGTTGAAAATGATCTGTGAGACACCAACCTGACCACATTTTGAATACATATCAATCAAACCACTCGCAACAAACATGTCATTATGAAGCAATAGTCTTACTGAAGCAGAATGCACTTGCTTGCCCAGTTCCAAAATTCCTAATCTAGAGCATGAACTGAGGATCACAGCCAAAGTTGTCCGGTCAGGTTGCACATTTTGATGTTGCATTCCCCTAAACAACTCGATTGTGTCTTGATGCAGTTCCTCCTGGCTGTAGCCGGATAAAAGGGTGTTCCACGTAGTCACAGTTGGCTTTGATATCTTGTCAAACATTGCACGAGCAGATGGAACATCCCTTGCCTTAATACAAGAAGCAAGCATGTTACTGTAAGTTACCTCATTGGGCTCAAAACCTGACTCTTGCATAAAGTCCAGTACTTCCAAGGCCCTCTCGTAGCAACCCAGTTGACCATATCCAGTTATAAGAATGTTCCAAGAAACAATACTGACACTGGACATCGACTCAAAGACTTTCATGGCCTCGTCCATCTTCATGCCCTTTGCATACATATCAATCAACGAGTTCCCCAAATGTTGGTCCGATCCAAAACCTTTTCTGACAACCAATGCATGAATGGACTGTGCAAGCCGGATTGCACGAGCGACATTGTAGTCACCAGCGCAGGCCTGCGCACACGCGCCCAGAACACTGGAGACAGCTACCGGATCAACACGAATCCCGCTCCTGCTCATCCGCGCGAACAGCCTGAGGGCATCGTCGACGGCCCCGCTCTGCACTAGCCCGCCCATCATCGCCGTGAACGAAACCTCGTTCGGGCTAGCCATCCCGTCGAACAGCCTGACCGCGTCGGCGACGCTCCCGCACTTTGTGTACATGCCGAGAAGCCCGTTCTCGACGAACTGGTTCCCGTCGAGCCCGACCTTGACGGCGAGCCCATGGCAGCGCCTCCCGTCACCGAGCGCAGCCACAGCGCCGCACGCGCTGAGCACGCTGGCGAGCGTGAAGTTCGTCGGGGCGAGGCCCTCCTGCAGCATCCCCTGGTACATCTCCAGCGCTTCCCCCGGGGAGCCCGACCGCGCGACGGCGGCGATGACGGTGTTCCAGGAGACGGCGTTCCGGTCGGGCATTTGGCCGAGCAGGTCCCTGGCGGCGGCGAGGTCCCCCGCGCGGCAGGCAGCCGAGATGGCGGCGTTGTAGGAGTAGACGTTGGGGCGGGGCAGCGCGCGGAAGGCGCGGAGCGCGTGGCATGGCAGGCCCGAGAGGGAGTAGAGCTCGACGAGGCGGTTGAGGAGGAAGGTGTCGGCGGCGAGGCCGGCGGCGAGGACGCGCGCGTGCAAGGCCTTGGCGTGGGCTCGGCTGGGCTCGGGGCCGCCGCTACGCTTGATGCAGGCCCGGAGCACGGCAGCGAGCTGGGCCGCTAGGTTGGCCATCACGGCGAGAAACCAGAGGAGTGGTCCGTTTATATACATGTATGTACGATGCAACGTGAACAAAATAATCATTTCTAACAACATATAATTATGTAAACCACCTTTGTTAAAATATACAAAATTGATTTTTTTTATATGGGCAAAAGGCGTCTGGAATAAAAAATCATCATGGAACCATCAGACATTTTAAGAGGCCAGTATTAACTTAAATTGAGTTATTATCATAAAATAATTATTCAAACAAATGCGTCATTTTGAGCAACAAACACTAAAAGGAACTGTTCATAAGGAAAAGTACATTAATACAGTATTAAAATGATAATGCTACAAAACACTCGAGTATTTTGGAGCAATCCAACACTAGAATTTTCTCTTCTCCATCGATCTCCGCCCTCTCCTTCTCTTCTTCTCTAACTCCGGCAGGCTTAGAAAAGGCTCGAGGTAGGTAGGCCGGCTAGGCGGTGGGGATGGTGAGGAGGGTGGCGTTAGGGTTCTGACGGCGGATGAGGTGGCCAGTCCAGGTCGGGGCGAGGGTCGCCTATGGCCATGACGGAGGCAGGAGGGGGGTAGAAGAAGGAGGCCGCGGCTGGTGCGGCGGGTGAAGAAAAATTTGAGTGTTCTAACACTCGAGCGATGGATAGGCAGACTCTATTAAAACTACTCCCCTCTGAGGAACCCACATCCCCACCCCCCCACCGTGACATTCAAGGTTTGCATGTCACCTGTCCCCCTCACCTCGTCCGTGACTCCATCATGGCCGCTACCAACTGCCCGACTATAAGTGCTCCATCTAAGGTCTTGTTTTGATGCACGTGTATACATCTCAATTTATGTGTGGTGAAGTAGATTTGGGTGGAACTTAGCTTAATTTTCACCCCCAAATTCATTGTAACACATGCAGCTTGAGGTGAATACATGTGCATCTAAACAAGCCTAATGCAAGTCAGGAAACCTCGCGTGGCGCCAAAGCACCACAATCACCTAGATGAGCGCCAAATCTATTTTGTTTGACTTTCCCAAGCGTGAAATATGAAGATCATTCCTAGATGGAGGGAGTAATTTATCAAAATTAGATAAAGATTATAGAGTGTATAAATAAGAGCATTTGTATATTGTATAAATATATAGAGAGAGAGCAAAGATAATAAAATTTTGGTTAGTAGTACATATTAAATTTATATAATACATTTTATATTACTTATAAATTTATAAGATTTTGAGCCGTGTGCAGGAGCACAAGGAGTAAAAAATCGCTTAAGGCCAGTCTCAGTAGGAGTTTTATGTGAGTTTCATTTGTATTAAATAGGTTGCTAGATAGTCATTTTTGATGATGTGGCAGTGTATTTAAGAAGAGAGAAGAAATAGGTTTCATCTGGATAAAACCCTCTTGACACAATTACTAACTATCTATAAGTCAATGAAATTAAATGTTTATAAAACTTTGGAACGAAACTTTATATCGGTAATAAAGCTATGAAAGAGACTGGCCGGTGACAATGGCATCAATTGGATGGGTGCGTCGCAAGGCTGGTTCCAGCCGCAAGCCCTCTCGAGTTTCGAAGCAGAAATTCTCGTATCGTACCGTCCGGCGGGCGCCGCCTCCTCGTGAGCTGTGCGCTGAACGAAAAGGACGCCGCCGACGCCTGGTACCTTGCGTCAACTCGAGCTTCGTTTGTGCACGCTTTCCCATCCGACGCTGCATATTCCCAATGCATTCGACGTCGCCACCGCTAGGCCGGGCCGGGTGGCTATAAATCTCGCAGGCGCCGCCCGTTTGCAGAGGCACCGCAAGCCACACACCAACACAGAAGCAGGCAGCAGGGCAACTGGGCAAGAGGCCGGCTGTGTGTGCTGGGAGCGATCGAGCAAGAGGTAGTAATAATGGGCGCCGCGGTGAGCACCGCGTTCTGGGCGGGCGTGGCGGTCGGGGCGGCGCGGGCGGCGGCGACTGACGTTGTCAACGACGCCCTCGACTCCGTCTACGACGCGGCTGAGGCGGTGATGGACTACCTGCGCACGGTCGCCTCGTGGACTTTCGAGAAGCTCAAGGCAGCCGCGGCATTCGTCAAAGACAAAGTCATCAACCTGGTGCACCGCCTGCGTGGCCGCAAGGAGGCCGCTGCGGCGAGGCGCGAGGTGGACAGTGCTGCTGCCGCTGATGTTTGGGTTGCGGCCTACCAGCAGGCAAGCTTCCGGCCAGGCAGCCGTCCTGGCTCCAGGCGCCCGAGATCGCGCCAGGCACCTGGGTCTGATCCAAATATGGCCGTCGTGCTGTCCAGGGCTGCGGCCCGTGTCGCCGGTTTCGGGCGACTACAGGACGTCAAGGCCGGCCTTCCTCCTCCGTCTTCGGCCATCGTCACTGCCACCGCACCCGGCAGAGAGCTGGCCTTGCCGGGTTCCGTGGCTGCCCCGGCCGCGCGCGCCGGACGACGGGCTTCGGAGATGATGGCCCTCCTTGAGACCGCGGTGGAGGCGCTGGGTGACAGCATTCCTGAGGACGCTAGGTCCTGCATCTGCGTCGTCGTAGCCGCGGTGGGCATAGGTCTCGAGGCGATCGCCGCCGCCGCCGCCGTGGACGCCTAGGCCCGTCGGCTCCGCTCCGTTGATTTGCTATGTCGTTGGCTCATTGCAGTGTCCCCGTTTCTGTATCGTCCCCCTGTTGCCAAAGTTCAATTGAAGCAGTAATTCTTCACCTGATTTTTTTTTGCGAGAAATTCTTCACCTGCATTTCAACGTCTCCTTTGTACTTGCATGGATTTTTCGTGGCCAGGCCGCGCAAATGAAAACGCCGTGCACTTTAGGCCCCCCTTGGAATAACAGGAAATGGCATTCGATACGAGTTTCATTTGCAGGATGGAGCCGTCCAATGCACGACGAGCTGTTGAGCTGTGTGGCCATCTCAAGCCCAAGGGCTACACAGCCTACAGGCTCACGGGGTCGCTGTTTCTCACGGTACTGCCTCGATTGCGTACGGCTGTGCATTAGTCTTTTTAAATGTCACTCTTTAAATCATTATTTAGAACGTCATTCGTATAAAAATCGTTTTCTATATCTTTTACTCTTCAACCGTTTTCATATATTTTGTGTGCACTCTAGAGAACCCTTCTCGTTGTATATCTTTGGCTACCGAGAAATCAGAAATAGAAGATGGTTATATTTTGATAACCAAATAAAAAAAGTTGTGCACTCTCTATATGTTTAGAAAAATACAATTCTTATTTTTGAGGAGTTAAATGTGTTTAGTTTAACTAAAATTATATAAAAATACTAACATTTATGATACAAAATAAGTACCATTAAATTAATTATAAAATATATTTTCTTAATAAACCGATTTAGAGACAAAATTATAAATATTATTCATTATAAATTTAGTCAAATATGAACTACTTTGACAGATTTGAGCCGATGATTTGACTGCTGACTAGGCTTGGGAACCGATGTGGAGGAGAGAGAATGGTAGAAAATCAACTCGCTGGCTATATAGCCTAGGTAAAAGTGTTTGGCGTTAAATTATAGGATTCCTCCACGTCGCTGTCGATACTGATAGCAACTATTGTGGATGCCTTAGTCATTTGTAGGTGCATTTACGGCACATTTGTGTTCATAGGAGATCATGGGTACGTCGTTGGGGCAGCAAGTGAACAAGCGGAGGGATGCTTGCGCCAAGAACCGTGTGAAGGAGAATAGGCGCCTGAGGTGCATTTGCGGGTGGGCAGTGCGGAGGGAAAGTGGGACATCGGTAATGTGACTTCACCAAATTACATAGATATTTGCTAGTAAAGATTTCCTATTTAGAGCCCTCTTTGACAAGGGCCTCATCTAAGAAGCTGGAGAAGCCATGATTTGGTGGCTTCACCCATCTAGTCAAGTAAAAAAAAAACAAATCCTCCCCTCTGTAGCTTCTTTTATAGAGTCGTTTTATGAGATAGTGTTTGGCAGAGCTTCATTAAAAAGCCAAGGCTCCGGCCAAAGAGGGCCTAAGTATAAAGAATATATAAAGAATATTTTATAAAGATACAATAGGCATAAGAGTTTCATTAATTCAAGGATAAAAAATCTGCAGCTACTGATAAATCAAAAATTAGATTCATGACATTGTAAAAGGTTATATTTTCTAAGATTTTAATCTATGCAGGAGTATAGATTGATGGAAGTTTTGACTCTATGAAACAAATTCACGTCTTCACACGGAATCTTATCAAAGGAAAAAAATAATCACAACAACGTGCATCACAAAAACGTGCATCGGCGTGTGGCGTGCTGGCTAGCTCAGCTCAGTTAGCGAGAGGTCCATTGTTGTTGCGGTGAATGGCCCATTACCGTTGGTTGCTTGTGAATCTGGTGCTCCGCAAGTAAGGCTCCGTTTAGATCCAATTTTTTTTTTGGATTTTGGCTCACTGTAGCATTTTGTTTGTATTTGGTAATTAGTGTCTAATTATGAACTAATTAGGTTCAAAAGTTTCGTCTCGCGATTTCTCACTCAACTGTGCAATTAGTTTTTTTTTCATCTACATTTAGTACTCTATGCATATGCTGCAAGATTCGATGTGACGGATCCTGCGTAAAATTTTTTGAAATCTAAACAGGCCCTAATTTACCTTCGCTTTTTAGCACCACCTCGTGTATGCATGTGGGAGGGAGAACCAGACGTCCTCATAAAAAACCCAAGCGCCTCCCGACTCCAGTGCAGAACACAATGGCCAGCATTCCGTGCCCTGAAATTTGAAAGGGAATACGGGAAGAGCGGCGGTGTTTATATACCGGTGTTTACCCATTTTGAACAACGATTTATGGTTGGTAAAAACAGCAAGGAGTCTGGATTGAATTTTTTTTTTCTGTTTTCGTACTAGTTTTCTCTTTTTTTCATCTCATTTGGTTCTGTTTTTTTTTTCCCCTTCCATCGGTTGCCTCCTCGTCTCTCAGTCATCATCGGCTTGCCCTCGAGTATACCAACAAGCTTCCTATAGTCTGATCATCAGAGCTAAATCAAAACAAGCGCTAGCTGCATTCTGATCATCAGGGCTAATGTCTGCCTTATCTGTGGCTTGCCCTCGAGTATACCAACAAGCTTCCTATATTCTGATCATCAGGGCTAAATCAAAACTGGCTAGCTAGCTGCATTCTGATCATCAGGGCTAAATCAAAACAGGCTAGCTAGCTGCAGTTGCCAGTTGATGGTTGGTTGGTTAGTTGCACCCTAAGAAAAGCAGATGAGAGGAAACAATTGAACCGGATAGCAGCACATATGCAGGAACTCCACCACAATTGCTCTAGCAGAATATTCTTTTCAATTGGAGAATGCAGGAACTCCACCACAATTGCTATCTTTCCAATCGGAGAAGTCCGTTGATAAATATATGAACGTAGTGAACATATGCAGGAAGTCCACCACAATTCCTCTAGCAGAAACAATATTCTTTTCTATTAGAGACTCCACCACAATTGCTCTCTTTTGAATTGGAGAAGTCCGTTGATAAATAGGAACGTAGTGACGCGGAAGCTTCAGTTTTGTTTGGTGTAGATTTAGACAGAAGAATACAAGATGTAAATGGCATGAACCAAATTCTTGTACAACTGCAAAAATTACTAAACAAACAATTGGCGTGTAGAAGCCCATGGGTCAGTGATCTTGTACACTAGTTGATTTTAGATTCTCATCTTTGGATATAATTTCTAATCTTTGGAATTAAGAGGACATCATCGACTTCCAAATGAGAACTCTGTCATTGGTACACGGCAACCAGGATTCAGAATAATACGGCCATTCAACGAGGACGCAGAATAATAGTGATTGGTTTAAAGTATGCGTGCTGATGAACTACAAGATTCAATTCTTAAACAATGTTCTAGTTTTCACATAGATATATTTGCTTTGAATTTATCATTAACGACTAAGTCACTAAACCAGCCTTCCACATTGCTCCATTCCAGTTCAGAACCAATGTAACTCAGGTAAACCAGGTAGCAAACACATCACATGATCAAAACACGAGTCAAGGTAAACCAGATAGCAAACACATCACATGATCAAATTAAAACACGAGTCAAGGTAAACCAGCAAACACATCACATGAAAACACATCACATGATCTTGCACGCAGGAGACGACGCCTCCTCGCAATCGCAGGTGATCTTTGGGTACTGCCCCAACGGTAGCTCCCTGTAGTAGCCCGCAGGCGGGTGGTTGACGAACGCGCGCGCCTGGCAACCGCAGTAGCAGCGGCCGTAGTCACTGTAGCCCCCGCACCCGCAGATGCCGCAGCAGCACGACGGAGCAAGGGCCGCCAGCCCACCGGACGGATTTGGCAGCATGGCTGGTCGCTGTGGTGTGAGCCTCAGTTCCGCTGCCACGAGCTGGATGTCCCTGATCAGCCAGCCCGCCTTGCGCCGGAGCTTGCAGGGGAGCACCAGCGGGTCGAAGGCGCCCGAGATCACCACCGTCCCAGACACCTCGTCGTAGGAAATCGTCCGGATGTCCTCAGTTTCTGCCAACACGTACGCAAGAGGGAATTAAACCGTACAGCTTCCTGCTCTAAGGACTGGACGACAGTATAGGTAGATACTGAATCAGGAGGGAAGTGGTTATTACCTTGCAGCTTGTACACAGTCTTCCAGATCTTGGTGAAGCAGCGGCAGCAGCCATGGTTGAGTGTGACGACCAGCGTGGACACCTGCATGACACTATAAATCACTCTGTTGATGCAAGTGGTGCTAGCCAAGTAGCCAAACAAACCAAAATCATTGGAAACACGGACGATCATCACAGTAGATAAACACACAGGCAGGGAGACGTTCAACAACCAGAAACGCAGAGATCAGAGATAGAGAAGGCAGCACGTACCTTCTCTGCCATGTGCGCTCTTTCTGGAGAATGGTGATGGTGTACAGTGTACTGCGAGGGGAGGAGTAGAACTGCAATACTGTACCAGTATTTATACCTCCACTACTCCACTAGCACCTGTGGTCTGTCATCTGTGGAAAGATAGCACTGTTCATGGGCTGGGATATGGAATATGTGGCTGCACTTCCTTGGGCCAAATCATGTTGCCAGATAATTGGGACGAATTATGTTAGGGCTTTGCTAAGTATAAACTTAAAATAGCAAGTAAAATGCCCAAATTACTCCCACATATATGGAAATTGCCTAGATAACTACCTAAATTAATCTATACTAGAAAACCAGGCGCGGCTTTGCCCCGCACTTGTTAGAGCAGCGAGCCGATCGAGGCAACAAAATGATTAAAATTTCAACTCCTCATTTGATGTGGCTAGGAGATCTATGAGCTCTAAATTTTGACATATCGGAACATCAAGTAATCAAGGAGCAGCAGTGTACATACTTCAGAATTGCAGTAGTGTACACACTTCAAATTGGCATTAGAGTACATAATGCTGCAGAGTCCGGCCATGGTAAAGATCAATGCGGATGGAGCATATGTGGCTCAAACTAGCGTTATTGCTAGAAGTCAAGATATGGTCTCCTTACCAACTTGGCAGGGTGGCTTTAAAATGTAGCATTGCCCATTGGTCGACTAGCATCAAACTCTCCCTGATTTAGTAATTTTTCTATTCAGATTCAGTTTCCATCTCACGGTTTTAGTTGTTGCTCCTCTTCTTGATCTCTGAAAACTTAGAGCCTTTCAGAAGCTATATCTGAGTACACCTGCTGAAAAATGAAGAAACATGCACACGAAGAGATGAGAACCAAACTGTTAGATCAATACAATGATGAGTTGATGAGCTGATCATGATGGTTATTTGCCCAGAAATGATGCTACCTGCAATTATCATAACCAACATTAGCATCTTGAGTCTTGACAGTTGACACAACTAATGCCTGCTATAAACCAGCAGTCAAGTAGCTAATTCTTTCTTAAAACCTGAACCAAAAAGATTACCCTTGGTTTTCAACTTTTGATAGCAAAAATCATGGCTTCAAACTTAGCAAAAATTAATCAATCAGACTTGCTCTCTGAGATGATCACAACATTTAACCAATCTAAATTGTAACAAGTTCAAAAGAGAAGCAACGATTGTAGAAATAAGGAAACTCACCTGACTTGGGCTGCAGCATCTTGCCGTTGCCATTACAAATGGCTTTCTCAATCATAAAAAGGAGCGTTGAAGCTACAATTGATATCTGTTTAAAAAAAACGCAGACAATAGTATTGCTTCTGATATGCCCGTGCCTCTGTTAGCAAAATTGAAATACTGGCCAAAGTTTTGTTTACTCAATGTAATCAGACCTAGCTTGTATGCTTTCTAGACATATGCAAAGAAACATCTCGAATGCAATTACCAAAGGTGTGGCAACAACAGAATGACAGGGTGCCCCCTTCGGCACACCTTTGGGCTCCATGAATGTCATTGTTTGATGAAATATGACAGAAGGAAAAATCAAGGAGATTACAACAGTTAAAATGCATGTTGTATTATGATATTCTAAGGACAAGTTTGAACACCTTTGATCACAGAAAACTATACTCTCAAATTGAAATTGACAGAATCATAGAGTTGGAAAAAACAGAAGAAATTTTTATGGTGGTGATATTTTGAGGAATGCCAATGACTAAATATAAGATCAGAAGATTTAAGGTTGAAGCTGTTTCTGAAAGATTGTACCCTTGCTGAAAATCTCAAGTTTTGTAGGCAGCACTCAATTCTTTACCTTTACAATAGTAATTGTTGCAATGCTAAAGTCAATATATTTAAGGGGCTGCCTGAACTTACAAAACTATACTCTCAAATATCTTTTTAAGAACTGATGAAATATGGTATCCTCTTTGCACGCGTGAGAAATTGTGACCAAGCTAATCCAGGACAATGAACAAGATGTTTCTAAAGCATAAATAATGAGTATCGAAGACATATTGCACACATTGGTAGCCACCCCATAGTTGCAGTGAGATCAGTGTGTTTGAGACATCTTCAGATTAACCATTCACGACACATGCACATGCTTCACAGTTAGTATCTAGCTAAGAGGACTGCCTACAAGCAGTACTGCAAAAAAAAAAAAAAAGATCTTAAAAAACAACCCCGACAAGCATTGATTCATGGCATATACGTGAAGACAAAGATGTGTTGTTTACTTCATGGGGGCATTCTGTCAAACACCTCATGTGCTCTATCGTCGACATCTAGTCAAATGTTGAAGTGGTGGGTGCTGCCGGGACAGTGGACACCGACGTAGGTGGCCGAGCATGGCCAACCTTGACACCCCTTCTGTGGTTTCACCTGGACTGTCGCTGACGGCAGCACAGTGGCGCGGGTGGCGCTGCAAAGCCGGTGGCCAAGCCCTGGACGCCGTCATCACGCAAGAGCGGTCACAGCCACGCCACGCCACTGGAGGCGGCACTTGCATCTGACGGGGGGAGATGAGCGTGGCTCAGGCTGAGCCTCTGCGGTTGTTGCAGCTGAGTATGGGGCCTATGCGCCATCACCGCAAGCCTCGTCGACGGCAGTGCGCGAGCAAAGGAGGTCCTGCTGGAGGCCGTGGAAGTAGAAAGCGTCGAGCTGCGCGAGGAAGAGGCGCTGTCAATGTGCGTGTGCGGCGAGGACCGAGGTCGGGCAGCAGCCCAAGCTGCCGTTGTTTGCGCGACACGGCGGCGGCGTAGTGCGCGAACTTGGCACGGGATCTCGGTCACCAAGATGACCGCCCGGGAGGACGCTTCGATTCTTCTCTTCCCACTGTTTTGCGTTTTTTTTTCATTGGTTCTATTTCAGTTTCGAGAAATTTTCTTATTTGACATAAAAAAAACTTGCTCTTCCCAACTTAAACTTTAAATTTTCCTTACATGCCATTTTTTGAATTTTTTTCCCAGACTGACACTACCATGAGCTGAGGCACTTAACTGGTTCCATTCTGAAAACATATTTTTGTCCTTCCAAGTGTTCCAACTATTTTTTTTGGTGATATCTTTTTTCTGGGCACTTGAACAGCCGAGGCACATGAACATTTTTGGGAAGTGCCCAGAACATCCACGCTGTTCAAATGCCAGGAAAAAAATATATTAAAGTTGCATTTACTTGACACATGTTTAATAAGACACTATTATATTATTGCTAACGTTAACTTATATTATAAATGTCATGGTTATCATAAGATAAATTATATATTTTAGATTTTATAGAAAAGGTGAAACATAAATAGGTACATATTATTTCTGTCGTTGTTGTTCATAAGTTTTTGATAGTTTTTTTTATCTCATTGCAACGCACAAGCATGCTCAGTAGTCATTCTATTTAGCCGATGCCACCCTAGTCCATCTCAGTTATGACTTAGACTGTCTCCAACAAGTTATCCATAAACGCAAAATGGGTCTTCGATAGTACTGTATCGGTCTCCAATAGATCACCTATACAGAAGATCCATTTTAGGTGCGAGGGGAGACACAACTTAAATCTGAGTATCCTCTCTTCTGAAGACCCATTTATAAAAAGGGTTCTATTTTGGGTATTATTGTTGGAGATGATAAAAAATAGGTATTAAAACTTTTGCCTGTAGCGTTACCCAAGTATAAAATGAGTCTTGTATTTGGGTTTCCATTGTTGCAGCTAGTCTTACCCAGCAGAGCAGTCAGTAGACCCAACCAGATCACGGAACAGCGTGTCGACACGTCGGCCACCAAGCAAGCCATGTCCACGCTGGACACTGCACCAAACTTTGCACTAGGCACGTGCACGTCCATACACCGTGAAACAACACTCCAATCGCCCGACGCGCACGACGGCGCGATCCTGGCCAGTCCCGTCTCTGCGTACCCGCGCCCTTCATCCGTCACGGCGTCGCAACGCCTGCGTCGGCGCAAAGTGCGTCCTCTCTGCTCGCCTATGACCGTGCCGTCCTCTTGGCTCGAGCGGCTCATCCACTCCAGCAGGGCCTACTCGAGCCCCATAGCTATATATGAAAGCTCAGGGCAAAAAAATATATGGTCAAGGGTTTTTACTAGAGCCCTAGAAATTATGTGGGCACCTAGATTCTTTCTCCGCACCCTATTTCATTGGATCTAGGCCAAACCCCAAATCCTCCAAAGAAGCGACGACATCTTCCCTCGGCGTGGCGACGACGCGAGCTCCAGCAGTGACGGCGGCTTCCCTCGGCGTGGTGGACGCGAGCTACAACAGCGACGGCGGCTTCCCTCGGTGTGGTGGACGCGAGCTCTGGCAGTGACCGTGGCTTCCCTCGGCCCTTTGCTGACCGCCGCACGGGCGCGGCTCCAACCCTCCGCCGCATGGGCGTAGGCCCCTGCTCCAGTTGAATCCATCTCGGCCCATACATAGGGAGAAGAAAGAGATAATGACGAGCGGGTCCCATCTGTCATCCTCTACCGGAATCAATATTAGGGGCCAAATATATGTGCTCCTGTTGGAGTAGAAGTAGAAAACTAAGCCAACAAAAGTAGGGGGCAGCACCTAAATCAGATTTGGAGGCCCTGATTTGGATCCCACTGCTAGAGTTGCTCTTAGGCATGTACAACGGGACTCTTGACCCGTCTCCGTGACGACATATTTGCAAAACGAACCCTTTCAATGCATAGAGACGGAGCCATCGTTGTCTCACGAGACGATGAGAAGAGCCCGTGGCCCAAGGCAGAGTCGCCAGCTCCAACGTACACCGTTGTACGGTCGCCTCGCCGATTCCATGGTGTCGCGGATCCCGTGCACGCGGGGATTTAGTTTGGGCGTGCGCTGGAGAGATTTCTCGTGCCAAATTGTTGAGCGCCTCGTCCGCATCTAGGAAGAGTAAGGGTGCCTCACTGTCGTCGATGGCGGCGCCCCAGACCCTTTCTCCGCCTAGCCACCGCAAGACTCTTACAGCCGATCCTCCGTCTATAGGTTAAGCATGCACACAATAAACTAATCAGCATGCACGTCCAATAAATTCAAGTCCGTTACAACGCATAGATATATTTGTAGCAGTTACCACAAACGCCCTGTTCGTTTGGGCTGGTTTGGCTTATAAGCCATGGCTGAAAGTACTGTTGGCTAGTTTGGTGTGAGAGAAAAATACTATTCGTTGACTGATAAGCCATGACTTATAAGCCAAATATGACCAAATGAACATGCTCAAAAACAGGATGAAGCGACGCTGAAGGGAGGGCTGTCGGACTGCACCAACTCGACCGTTGCTCTCCTTCAATAATCCAAATCCCATGGATCCATCCAGGCGACCAGGCCTCGTCGCTCTCGCTCGTTTTTCATCACGCTGATGCGTCACCATCCAAAGACGCTTGCGACCCACACGTCTCCATCAAAGGCATCAACCTGCCCGGTAATCATATGGACTGGGTCGGTCCGTCACAGCACTCATTAGGATCCCGTCAGTTCGATCGGGGCCGGCGAATTGTTAAACGCCTTCAACGAGCGTTTATTTGTTGGTAGAAAATTAGAAATAAACTGGTGGGAGTGTTCTATTGCCGGATTGCTACAGTCCAGCAAGTAAGATTCACTAATGCACAAATCTTATCAAACTGCTAATTCAACCCCCCCCCTTCGCCATCGGTTTTCATCAGTGTTTATGAAAGTGGGTGGTAATGATACTTTATCATCCCTGGTTCAGCGTACGATCCGATCATAATGAGCACTTTAACACCTGGTTATCCTTGACCAAAAACTAATTATTTATTTTTGCTAGGAACTATGGATATTATTATAGCTTTTATAGTCTGACGTAACACGCGCTCTGAATTTTCTCAATAGCTATCAATTTGCTTCTGGATGGACTAGTTGGTTTATGCGCACACATCATAGGCTGGTTTACACTGGGTCATCTCAGCCATCCTAGATGCGTATGACCTATCTTTTGTTAACTCCAATGTTCTTAATTAGAAGTGTTTAGCATTTTTGCCCTGAAAAACAAGAGGTTCTGAGTATTTCTCCAATGTTGTGTAGGATTTCCTGATGCCTCGCTTGAAACCCCCCCCCTCTCCTACCGTCCAGCCGACCTCTATTGCCTGACCCCTCCTTCTAAGTTCTAAGGATGCAAGCTTGGAGGATCTCTCAAAGCCCACACCACCAAACCATAATCTTGTAACCCCTGTTGTCCCGATGTCGTTGTTGTCGTCCACCGCCCCAACTGGCAAAAACCTCGCAATCGAGCGTTTTGCTCACCATCCATCCGACCCCTCCCTCACCTAATCGAAGTGGAGGTAGACAAGATGCATGCGTAGATCCTAGTGGTGACCTCTTTATTGCCTCCAATCGTGCATGGACACAGGTCCTCAAGCACTGATATCCGTTGTTGTGGCACACACACGCTGAATAAAGACTTTTAGTTTGTTTTGGACGTCGCGACACAATGTCGTGCGGCTCGGGCCACGACGCCCCAGTGTTAGGTGAACCATTTATCCACCGAGACTCTTGGTGCACTATGGCAAAAAAAAAAAAAGCGTGGAGCCTCAGCCGAAGCACCGGCAGCTCTGCATCTTGGTAACCAACCAAACGCCGTTTGTCTAAACTACTGACGCTAGAGTTGCGATGTAAGTTATGATGAGGTTTAGGCCCCATGGCAACTCTAGCTTTAGCTCCTCTATGCATTGTAAGAATGAGTCGTTTTCCTTTTTCTTTTAAAATGAATTAGAAGCCGGTAAAGTCAATGTTATTTTTTATTTTATTGGCTCAAGCTCCTCCATGCACTGTAGCAGCAATCAGAAATATTTAGAGACATTCATTCTGTTCATTATTGGTTTCAAATGGCTTATCACCATGGTACAATATTTTTCTCTCACAACAAACCAATATTAGTCGACTCATCAGCCCGAAACCGATCGAAAGAAACAGCCTGATTGTATATAGTGCCTTAGTACTGAACCAACCCAGCCTCGAATACATAGGATACCAGAGCTTCGACTAAACACATAATCAAAATAGTGCTGCCGTTAAAGAAATGGATAAAGGGAACATAATTATTTTAAGAGCAATACTAAGGTACAAACTTTACCTCTATAGAGGTAATATTTCAAATCAATCTAAGCTATTGATTTTTCACATTTTATAAATTACATAATAAATTAAAAAATCCAGGAAAACAAAATAAAATCTCGCCACATCTCACTAATGACGGGAGGGAAATCCAGGAGAGACATGCACGCCGATTCCCCACGTACATGCTAGCTAGCCCCTTCCTTCCGTGGAGACGTGTTTTAAATTTGAGCATGCACAATTATTTATTCTAATAAAATAATAGATAAAGTAAGTGGATATTTGTTGTCTTCAAAATCAAGTTGAAATCCAAATATAAATTTAAATTTGAACTATTCGACTCATATACACATATAATACGTGTGATGTTTCCAACGAAATATCAATAGATTAATATAGTTTTTATCAGTATTAGAGCTTGCAGCAATTAAACAAAATGTCACTA